TATATGTACATATAATAATGCGATGTCTGCTATACTATATTTTTTATTAGAAAAAAATTTCTCTCTTGCTCACAAGAGTATATCATGTTCGTTTTCTAAAACTCTCTCTGCTTTCTTTTTTTATTTTTATTTCATTTTAATTATTACGACAATTCAACAAAATATTGTGTATGTAAATAGCCGCAGCAGGTGAACGCAGACGCCACCTGGTGTGAGCTATGCACATAATTAAACTAACAAACATTTGGTGTTATTCAATTGAATGTTGGCTCGGTTTTGATGAGCACTTGCCGAACCGTAATGAGTGCCACATTGTTCCCTGTTGTGCGCTGTGAGTGTGCTGTTTGCCTTTTTGTGTTTTTGTGGCATTTTAATTAATAAATGCGAGCACAGTTTGCATTGCGGTCAAAATTGGCGACCGAAACTTGCTCACCATTAGCTACTATTCAAACTATATCAAAGGGCATCTAATTAACTGGCCCAGAGTGTAAAACAAATAGAGTTGCATGCGAGAGAGAGAGAGAGAGAGAGAGAGAGACAGACAGAGATGGAGAGAGAGAGTGGCTGAATTTGCATTTCGTTGAGCGGGAACAGGCATTTGATGCGAGCCAATCAGAGATCTGTGGCCAGATTAGCTAATTTCAGGCTAGATCTAGCTTATTTCATAAATAAGTCCTTTGGAAATGAGTATGGGACGGAATCCATAAGTGATAGTTCTATTGTTAGAACAGAAGAAACTGTTTGTCTGCCTCTCCGTTTGTCTCTCTGTGTGTCTCTCTGCCCATCAAAGATCAGGAACGAAGAAGAACAATGGAACTTCTCTGTAGCAGACGATCATTGTATGCAGCAGTATTCTTTTAGTATATATATTTGAGTAAAATGAAGCTAGAATGCTTGAAGAAGCAGAGAATGCTCCCATTGATCACTAAAAGCTCGACTGCAACTATCCCCTACCTGGCACCGCCCTATATAAAGAACAGCAGCTGCAGCATTTCTTCAGGCCTGATGGGGTTCTGCCATGCATAAAGTAGA